CAAGAAGGATTTAACTCCTAAAGTGGCGAGATGGGCGTTACTTCTAGAAGAATTTGACTATGAAATTGTTCACAGATCTGGGCAACAAATGAAGCATGTGGATTCATTAAGTAGAAACGCTGTTATGATGGTTACTTGTTCTCAGGGAGAAATTGCAGCTGCGCAAAGGAGTGATGAGCGTCTCCAGTTGCTAAAATCCTTAGTCGAGCAAGGACTAAAGAAAGATTTTCTAGTGAAAAATCGAGTATTATACAAGTTCGACAATGGTCGTGAGCTACTTGTGGTACCCGAAGCATTAGAGTTAGAAATCATACGTAGTATCCACAACAAGGGACATTTCGCAGTGTCTAAAACAGAAGATCTGCTAAAAAACGACTTTTATATTCCTAACCTTAGAAAACGAATTGAGCAAGTTATTTCAAATTGTGTAGAATGTATTTTGTGCGACAGAAAACGAGGTAAGAGCGAAGGATTGCTGAATCCCATACCAAAAGATAGTATCCCTTTGAGCACTTTTCATATCGATTTTATAGGACCATTACCGTTCGACAAATAAGAACTACAATCACATCTTAACCGTGGTTGATGCATTCACAAAGTTCGTATGGCTCTATCCAGTAAAGTCTACATCAGCTCAAGAGGCATTGCAGAAGCTGAAACTGCAACAATCAACTTTCGGTAGTCCTTTGAGAATTATAAGTGATAAAGGTACGGCGTTTACCTCTAAAGACTTTGAAGATTACTGTAGTCAAGAGAAGATCCAGCACATATTTACAACTACAGGCGTTCCTAGAGGAAATGGACAAGTGGAAAGAATTCATCTCACTCTGATTCCAGTCCTATCTAAATTATCCATAGATGATCCAACCAAGTGGTACAAATATGTTGGAGATGTACAAAGGATCTTAAACAGCACTAAGAGCAGAAGCACAAAGAGTTCTCCATTTGAGCTTCTCACTGGTGTTAAAATGAGAAATCGAGAAGACTTAAAGATTATGGAAATTCTTGAAGAAGAAGAAAGAAATATTATGATGAAAGATCGAGAAGATATGAGAGAGGAAGCAAGAAAAAAACATTCTAAAAATTCAAGAAGAGAATAGAAAAACATACAACAAGAAGAGAAAAGAGGCACAAGTATACAATGTGAACGACTTAGTTGCCATACAAAGAACGCAATATGGAGGTGGTCTAAAGTTAAGGCCAAAGTTCTTCGGTCCCATATCGTGTAACAGCGAGGAAAGGCAAAGATCGTTACCAGGTGGAAAAAGTGGGACACCATGAAGGTCCTGGATGTACCACTACAGCAGCTGATCTCATGAAGCCGTGGACTTCTACTATATAAAACTATGTGTGGTTCTTCCGCACTTCTTTTTTTTTTTTTTTTTGTTTTTTTTGTTTTGTTTTTTTAAAATTTATTTTCAGGTGCTGTCTTGATGTTCCAGTGTTGCTGATCCGTGTTTTCGAGGACGAAAAAGTGTCAGGAAGGCCGAGTTGTAGTATCCGTAAGTGCGACACAACCACCAGAGGGCCTCACCGATGCGCCAGCAGCGAGGTGAAAAGAGGAGTATGACAGAGAGACTCTTCTGCTATCCCACGCGAAGGTGGTGAGATGTCTGTCTGCACGTGAAGGTGTAGAATAAGGAACTGTAGTTTTCCACGCGAAGGTGGTAAATTGGACTGTTTAATACATCAGCAAATGCGAGTAGGCACTAATCGGTTATGTGATAAGACTGGTAAAAGCTATACAGAATCCTCTTTGTATCAAACGGCACTTGTATTTAATCTAATTTGTACCTTTTCTGATTATCTTTATTAAATGTTCTGTGGTGTGGAAAACAACGTTGGAATTGTTATTTAGCATCTTCAACTCCCCCACTACATACATATATAAAAAAAATTATGAGTAATTTAGAAAGCTGAAGACGACTTGCACTTAAGCTGCCAAGTAATAAATCAATAATTTAAAATTAGAAAAGGCTTTTCATGTATTATCTCCAAGGAACAGAAATTTAATTAAAGTGATGAATTATTGGACTAAATTTTAGTCAATACTTTAAATATAAGTTATTTAGATTCCTATTGTAGTAAAACTTCTTTAAAACTATTGCAAAAACTGGAAAGAAATAATATTTTAAACCGTAAAAATTCTGCAAAGTAAAATTTAAATTTAAAGTACTGAAATCATTGACCACAGATTAATTGACTTATCAAGGGAAACAAACCATCCACTATCAATTAACAATAACCAAATTAAGTGAGAATGTTTTGTCTTTTTTCCAAGCAAGGATCAAATCAGTAATTTTGCTAGAGTTAAGTCATAAGCTACGAACAACTATATAAGCTACTTAAAGCTACTTAGAACATACAACATAAGCTACTTAAAACTTAGAAAGATATTAGTCTGCTTGAGCTGAAAGACTTGTCATACACAAAAACTAAAATAAAAAGGAGTAAGAAATTCTTAATTTAAGGCACTCGTTAAGAACAGAATTAAATTAGTAAAACAAGAACCTCACTTCAGAAAAAACATTCCCCGACACTTTCACAGCATTGTAAAAACAAAAAACTATTAAAACCTGTACAAATTAATATACACAAAAGAAGATGTTAGAAAACAATAGAAAAAAGTTCAAATTAATACATTATTTTAGATAAAATGTAGTCATTTAATACCAATTAATATATTCTTTTAGATCCAAATGCAAAATCAAAGTAAAGCTTTTAATAACAAATTTATACATTCTTTTACATTACTATGTTAAATCGAAAACAGTGATTTATATACAATTTTAGGTTTAATGCCAGAAACAAATTAAAATTAACTTACTTGTTTGCAAATTTTAAATGTAATGGCTGGACTGTAAATGTACTCAGTGATGGAATGTAATAGGGTTGTTATAATTAGTGTGAGAAACGCAAGTGGTTGGTGATGTGTTGTACTCTATTTAAGATATGATAGCCTAAAGTAGACGAGATAATCTTACTGTTAGTTAAAGTTGTCATCAGAGACTAGTTTCTTATTCAAAATTTTTTTATCAAACAGAAGAAATTAATATATTTCTGGCTAATTGTCTAAAAAGCAAAAAGAATAAGGAGGTACCTTCAATGATAAAGGGCTGTTTACCTGACTGAAAATATGAAATAGGAATGATGAAAATATGAATGAGTTAAATAAAAGAATAGTATGCCAGAAAAAACTTGTAAATTATATTATATACAAAAATTAATTACAAAGTTTACAAATCTTTAACTAACAGACATCCAACTTATTCTACCTTTTGAAGGTTTAGGAACAAATTATCATGACCTTATTAGTTAAGAGATTTAAACTGAGTATTTAACGCCTGCTTTTTTAAGACAGTAATTAATAAATTTATCTGGTGCCAAATCATTTTTAAGAGTTTGAATAAGTATTAATATCTCATTTTAATTACATTACTGCTCCTAGGAGATGATATCTGAAAATTTTCTAATAATAAATTATATATATATATATACACACACACACACACACATACAGTGGAACAGAGAGAAGGTGTCATCGCAGCATTCCCTAATAAGGGTGAACTCCTCATGCATCAGGAGAATTCAAACTCAAAGCTAAAAAACAGATATTATAATCCAACAATTTCCCTTTCGATGTTTTGCAGGAAAAAAAAAATCATTTACAGTCATTCCAATTAATTTACAGCACTTAAAAAGCTGCAAAGTACATGAGCAGGCATTTTCTCTCCTGTCTGTACACTCTCGATATCTAGCTATCTAATTAAAATACAGATTAATATTATAATCCATCTGGGATCATTTTCCTTCAAAAACATCAATGTATTTCCTCGTTGCTCCCTTTAGAAAATTTTCAGCGAAATTATGTATTCCTGCTCAATTTTGTGGAAGTTTACTACAATTTTCCCCATTGTTGGCAAATTTTACAAACTCATATTTTAAAATTAAGTTTAAAGGAAAAATTATCATGATTTGTTTATAAAAACTGTTGGAACTTGGAATACAACAAAAAAGAACGCATACGAAAATAGCAACATCGCTTGACTGAAGGATTGTTAAAAGCATGGTTTCCAGAGTTTAGCACATTCTGAAAACTTGGCAACTTCTACTAAAGTGGTTGCATTAATACCCCAATACCTGAACATTTGCTATTAAATTTCAAATATTAAAAATATAATATACATAAATCAAGCTTACTATAAACTTGATAATTATTATAAATCTGCTGCAGCTCATTCTTATGAGCACTGAATGAGCTAATTGCAGAAGCTTACAAGGTCTTTATATATAATGAGCATTAATAGAAGTTAAGTTTTAAACTGTTTTTTTACTTTGTATTTATTCAGATATATATCAGAAAAATACTGTTAAAATAGGTAACATTAATTCAGAAGTCAAATTAGGTAGGTCTTAATTAGGTAACATTAGTTAATTAAATTTAGTGGAACTCAAAATTCAATATTTATATAAGAATTTTTAATTAATTTTGATTACATAATGAATGACATTTAAAACCATGAAATTGTGTGAATCATTGTGCAATAAACATCAAGGAAGAAGGGTTTAGGAACTAACATGAGGGAGAGGTTAGAGAAATAAGTATAAATATTAATAGAACAGAAATACTAACACAAATTGAAAATAGTGTGCATAATCAGTACTGTTGGATCCAGTACAATTAGATAAGTTTCATTCTTATGAGCAACTTTAAAACACATAATCAATTATTTACAAAAAGGATTAATAAATTTCTTAAGATATTAATTAAGATAAATTCAAAATTTTCATTAAAATCATTAAAGATATCAAAATACATGCCATAATCTAGGTAAATAACAGTTCTTAGCATGAAAAGTAATGTTCCTAGGGCTAATATCATACCAGTTAAAGGCTAATACACTTAAAATAAAAAAACATATTGAAAAATGTCTCTTAGCAAATAATAAAATGGAAAATAATTAGGGGGAAGGTTAAAATTTAAGTAAAAAGCAACTAACCTGTTTATTTTCACTGAAGTTTACCATAAATATAGGTCTTAAAGGTCTTGACCATCGATAGGCAAACTTTTCATAACCTGTGTTTACTAATCCTATGTAACAAGCCATATCAACAGCTGTCAGTAGAATAGCAGCAAGCACAAGAATATGTTTCTTATCCCTAATAAATGTTTCAGGAGGTAAAAAAGAAGCACAATGTAAAAGTCGGAAAAGATAGAACAACATGCAGGCAAATTCGACAGACATGGTCACCTAAAAAATTAAATACTGCATTAACTTTCAAAATTATTAAAAACTTAATTTGATAAATTACCATTTAAATTTTACTTTAAGAATAGATGTTCAAACAAGGTGGAAAAATTTTCACATATTATGCAAATTTATATGCAAGAGAAGAAAAAAATTAAGTTAAACTTATCTTTCTTTATTCGAAAATAAAAAACAATGCAAAGACAGTTTCTTACTAACCCAATAAGGAAGAAGAAAGCCATCTACTGCTGGCTCCTCACAAATAGCTATCGCATGATGAATTATAATAAAGAAGTACAGCATATAACTCAGGCCCCAGTGATGATAAATAAGGTACAGTCTAAAGAAATAGAATTTATTATTAACATGGATCATGAAAATTTGAAACATTATTAAATTAATATTTAAATTACACATTTAGCACAGTTTAACAACTCGAAATGAAACTTAAAATGGAAGGGTTGCATTGTATACACTTGAAAATGATACTGAGCTCTCGTGATTAGCCACAGCAAATTTTTTTTTTAAATTTCCACCAGTATTACTTACTTTTCTGTATCATAGTAAGTAGTTTTAACTTAAGGAGTTAGTTTTAGCTTAAGGAACACTGGCAAAGAAGGGAAGTGAGAACAGCAAACGAAGAAAAAAAGGTAATACAAAAGTAATTGGTTTGATGCATTCAAAATGGCAACAAACAGATTATTCTCTCCAGTTCGTGCCTGCCATCATATAAATTTCTGATAAATAAGATAATACAACTGATGACGACTTGTAACCATGTTCCTGCTTATTCCTCCAATTCTGCTGATTTTCACATGCATTCCACTGTTTGCATGTGGATGCCAGTCTCGGGATCAAAAGTAACACTAAAATATGAAAAAAAAAAAAAGTTCTTCCCGCCCTCCTTTGTTTCCTTAAATGGCAGAGACAGAACATTAAGAAGGGAAGATTTTGAAAATGTTCATCTTTTTAGAAGAAACAGCTTCTAGAGTAGCCAAATTGCAAAAATCTAAATTACAGATGGTAATTTTGGTAACATGTGAATAGGTACCAGAAAACCTGCTTTTAAAACAAACAGCAATATTTACATATGCACACTTATCTCTGCTAGAATACTCAATAAAACTATTTTGTCTCAAAAGAACTATTGCAAGCTTTATAAGATTGAATTATACAGTTTTGGGCATACTTGTTGCTTGGAATCAAACTAAAAACACCTTTCAGAAACCTGTGCAAGCTATTAGTTAAGATTCTATCCATTAAAGTACATTAATTTTCATTAGATAATTGTTCAGAATATTCTCAACTATTTGCCAACTGCATTCATTCTGTCCATATTATTATGGTTTTAAAGTTAATTAGATTTGTGGATTTATTACCTAAATAGTAAACTCTGAATTTAAAATAATTTTGGTATTTTTCAGTTAAAAGGTGCTCATTGTAATTGTATGCCAAAGCACCAAATATGGTAACCTATTTATTTCACCTCGTGATATAATGAAATTTTTAAATAGGGAGAAGAAGGAACACTAATCCAATAATCTTCCAAGATTTTTCAATTGCTTTTTTGTGGAAATGCTTTTGTGTGTGTGTGTTTTCCTAAAGAATTAACGTGAATTATATAATTTGGCAGTTGCCGAATGATGAACAGTTACCATTAAATTATTTCAGCATAAAAAATATTATCCACATTGAAAAATGCTAAAAAAAAAAAAAAAAAAAAAAAAAAACACCGCAGAATGAGATCGTATTTTTTTACTGTCAAAGAACCAAAATGGCATAGCAATGAAAGATCATAATTATATGTATTCTTACTTGTGAATTGATACATTTGTCTTTATATATATGTAATTTTTAAATTTAATTAAATAGCCATTCATTTCATGAAGCTGTTTATATCATTATAGGTCCTATTCTACATTTAATAAGATTTTGAAGCAACATTTACATTTGGCATCGAGCAAAAAGTACCCAATTTTTAAAGGTGTCTCCTCTTTTTTTTTTTTTTTTTTTTTTTTTTTTTTTTTTTTTAAATTCAAAAGATTAAGCTTTTGCATATAATATCTATGTAAGTGAGGGATTCTACATTTTTCTCACAATAATGCAAAACATATCAGTTTTCACAAGAAACATGTTAAAGATTTTATTTATAAATATTTTCAATTTTTAACATTACATGATTAAACATGATCTGCAACAAAAGATCAACAGCTACAAATAATTCACGGGACAAATCTCAAACAAATTAAAATAAAAAAAATGGCAAGAAGACATACTGGAAAAATAAATACTGCAAATATATTACAGGCATGTTGACACTATTAGCATCATGTTTTATTATACTTCAAAATATTACACTTTAATTACTAACACAATAATAAAGAAATATACATCAGTTTCCATAAATTAGAGAGCAGGAAAATTGAAACAATTCATTTTGAATGATATTGAATAAAAATTCTTTCTATAATATGCTGATACACATTTCAAATAAAATTTAAAGCCATTCTTTAATACGGAGTAGATCTAACTTTCACCCCAATGGAAGATTACAGAGATATTTCATGTAACTAATAAGTTAGCTGGTAGTGAATCTTGTCTCTGCAACTTTCTCTAAATCCCTCCAGAGTTTTGAATATAAGACTGAAGGCAGGAATGTAACTTTCTACAGCAACACTTATATTCTTGATAATATAAATATCAGACTTTTTGAAAGGTCAGCCCGTACTTTCCACTACTCTAATAGATTATAAATGAGCAATATACTAAATCTAATATATGATAAATGAACATTACACTCTTGCAAGAGAAATGAATCTTCTAACGAACCTTCATAAATACAAACATAGGAAGTCAAAAATCTCATTTTTATACCTGCTTGCAGTTGTATATGGTTTGGGAAACAAAAGACTATGTCAAGGAAGCTACCACAAAATGCAAGATGCTACTTCCAAAATAACTGCCCATTTTATTAAAATTGAATACATTCTGTCTACACCCATTATTCTTTTTCAGTTATAATATCAAGGATCAGCTTTAAATAGCTCATATGAAATTAAGAGTATACAATAGAATGGCTTTCAAGCATGTGTGAAATGTTACCATTTTACTCAATTGGATATGAACGGTGCAATGAATTGCATATAATGATAACTACTTTCAATAATATAAACTCTTTCACAGAGCCTTTTTTTTTTTTTTTTTTTTTTTTTTTACACAGGGAAATCATGCGAATCACATCTTTTATTTTGCACACAGGAATCATTTAAAAAGATACTAAATGAGAAATAATTAATTGAGATAACTGTACTGTTACTGGTGGTACTTAAATTGTTCTAAGGAGAGATTTTAGCCAGGTTTACACTGCTGTTCCATTTATTTCAAGCAGATAATCTAAGGTGCTATAAATAAATTATAAGCACAGTATAACATTTCATAATGTACTGATATAATTGATTTTGCTTCCATTGCTTGTAATGCCTTAGTATTTCCTCCTCCATGGCTTTAAAGAATACTGAAATTGCTGATAAAATTCTGTAAATTACTGAATGGCAAACTCAGTAATCTAGTTACATTCACTTGACTTCTTGATCTGCTTTTAATGTAACAACAGCTTTCCACGAGTGTTCATCTAGAAACAATGTTTCATAACCATTTACAGCAAAATTTTTCTCTTGAAAGTAATTTTGCTCATTTTGGATGTGATCTAAAAGCAAATGAATAAGCCACTATATATATATATATATAAAAAAAAAAAAATTATTTGCACATACCAATAACTTTGCAGTACTTTTGCATGATATAAACTAACACAATATTTATTATATAGTAACTACAAATTTTTTGAATTAAAAAATAATTCAATTTTATTTGCTTTCTTAATTTATGGAAACTCTTTTTTAATGAAAGAAAACCACAAAAGATATTACCTAACACACTGATCATTTGGTATGAAATCAGAATGACGACCATTTTTAGCATCACACACTAGAGTAGAAGCTAACAAAAGTTTCTGTAACAGAAGTTTAACAATTATTTAAGTTCTAAGAAGATACTAGAAAAGACATTCTATAGTTTTAGTGCAAATTACATGATTTAGAAAATTTAATATTCAAATATCCAGACTAAAATAACATTTCCTTCCAGAAAATCTAAAAACATTTGCCCTGATAAAGAAAAGAAATGTACAGGTTACAATTCATTTGGGTTTCATTAAATTACATAAAATATACCTTCATTTTTCCCCTCTATCATCCACCTTTTCTTATTAAATTTAAAAGGCAGCTTTATACCTCTACTTTTAAAAATTTTATACAAAGCTTCATAAAAATATGTGACTTAAATAAGCATTAAATAAAAAAAAATCTTAAAAAAAGGTAACTTAACATAAAAAAATGTAAACATACATTCAGGCATTTTTAATGTTTTTCAGCAAAAATTTATTCTTCAGACTGCAATTTTTATCACTTGCAAAAGAACATAAAATCTTTTACTTATCAATTTAACTCAAATTGTGTATAATTATACAAGACCTTCAATTACATAGCTGCAGGCTCTTAAAGCACAATTCTTATAAATCATCGAGAAAATTGAGACTGTGGCACAAAGTTCATATTAAAACTCCCTATAGTTCCCAAAATTGCTTTATTTTTTTTATGTGATTATGTGTTTTCAAAACAAAAGTATAATATAGAAAACTGCAGGTTTATGCAAAGTTCTGAATGATACATGGTAAAGATTTTTATATATGTTAATAAACAGGGCACTTTCTTTGAGATATTAAATGAGAAACAATTAATTGAGATAATTGTTTATTCAACATGACTAATAATAGTTTTTTATGTTCTGAATATTTTTATAATAAATATCATCTAACAGTCATAAATTTCATGATAAATACTGGAAGTTAGAACAAAATAAATAATTTATTTTTTCTTAAAATTTTTGCATCATTCCCTTGAAATGCTTTTCATGGAGTAGTTTCCTTTCAATATAAAATAACAAACGAATTCAAAACACCAATAAAAAAAAAGGAACTATCAACACCAAAATTCTAACTTAAGATTTTTTTGTTAGCAGAGTCCAATGTATAATGAACTTAGGATAACAGAAGATGATTAGGTTAATTGATTGAGGCAAAGACCACTGAGAGCTATCATGGATGACTCATGACTTCATAGATGAGACGATTTGTTTCTCTGCTTTCCAGTTATCCTTTAAAAGGGGGAGTACATAAGGTCTTTCTCTTTCCTTGCTGCGTGCCCTCATGATGTAATTGAATAGCACGTATGGCTAGCCTCAGGGAAATCTGGTATTCAAATCCTGGCTAAGGCACTGCACAATTTTCATGCTCCAACTATGAAAAAAAAACTTTACTACTCTAGAACCATAAATGCAGCCCAGTGAAACTGACTCATAGGAAAACTATGAAAATTTCCAATTGTAAAAATGTGAATTGAACTAGCATTATTCAGTGATCCTATCTTTTGAACAATAGCTGAGTGTCTGGAAAATGGATTTAATTAATATATATGCCATTAACAACTTTAGTCTTGATTTTTACACTAATATTAGAGAGGTATGTGACAGGCATTAGCAAATATATTCAGATTAAAGTTCTCAGTAATTATGCACAGTTTAGTAAAACCAACGGGTCTAAGATTCTACACTGCTCTCATAAACTTAATTTAAAACAAAATTATTTACTGCTATACATTTTTATTTTCAGACACTGACTTCAAAGGGACAGAACTTTGATGAAATTATGAAAAGCAGAAATTAAACATAGCAAAAAGCTACAAGGTATATACAACTCATATTTCCTGAGACTACAATGGGTTACTGTTATTCAGTTAACAAATCTTCTATTACTATCATTTGAAGTAGATTCTCTAATAAGTTCTGGTAAACAATTACAAGAATTTATTTTGTACCTTGTTGGCAAATAGTCGAGTGCATCTGGCAGGTAATTGATGCACCAGCTGATCAAGAAGCTTGGTGTGATTATGTACAATTAACCTTTCCCACCTATATTAAATTATTATTTAAACTGCAAAGCAACCGATTTTGCTCTAAAAAATTGCTTTGTCATGATGAACAAGAGAAGTCTTGCTTTAAACCAGGGTTTCTTACACTTTTTTCCGTGACCCCTTTTTATCACTAGGATTTTTTCGTGACCCCCAGGTGCTCATAATATTTACAAAAATTTTGTGGGACCCCATAAGTATTGTGCAAATCCTACACACTCGTGAGTGAAACTGTCAATTCTTCACTTGCACTGTAATATGCTATTGCAGTTTTAAGTCATTAACTTAAATTTATAATTTTAAGACATACAACAATGGGGAAATTTTAAATAACTAACAGACAAAATGACAGCGCCTGTATTATCTTATCTTTATCTATTTTCAGATACATTGTGTAAAAATATTTGGTAATTGTAAAATTATTATAATAAGTTAAGAAATATCAAAACTGTTAAAATTTTTAGCAACTCCCTGCTGCAGGTCTGGGGGTAGCAACCCACAATTTAAGAAACCCTGCTTTAAACTAATGCCATGCTGTCAGTCCGAAAACTCTCTATATATGCTAGACTTAAAGCCTTGGATTTAAAACTAGGCTAAGCCATTATAAGGTGTTTTCTCCCTCCTAATTGCATGCCTTCATGGTGCAAATGGATAACATGCTAGCTACCATCAGAATGTCTAATGTTCAAATCCCACCCAGTGAGGGCAAACTGCACTATTTTCCTGTTTCCTGCTTTAACAAACAAAAAAAAAAAAAAAAAGACTTTACAAGTGGTGATAGAACTAAAAAAAAAGTGGTGGGGACAATAATTCATCAGCACCAGGATTTGTACGATTTGGTTCTCTGCTTTCCAGTTACCCTTTAAAAGGGGAAGTACATAAGGTCTTTCTCTCTCCTTGCTGTGTGCTCTCAGGATGTAATTGAATAGTACATATGGCTAGCCTCGGGGAAATCTGGTACTCAAATCCTAGCTAAGGCACTGCACAATTTTCATGTCTCCAACTATGAAAAAAAAACTTTAATACTCTAGAACCATAAATGCAGCCCAATGCTATTATGCAACTACCTTAAGGCAGTACTGTCAACAAAACTCAAACCTGAACATAGTTCTGGCAAGACATCTACCAGGTTATAAATAAAAATACCAGTTCATAGATTTTATCTCATTACTCCATAAAAAGTTCATCCATTGAACAATGTTTAAGGATCTGTAGAGCTTTTAATGTGTGATATGTGGCTTCTCTGACCAGCTGTGTAACTGTGAAAACAAAAGAAACATTTAAAAAAAAAAAAAAAAAAAAAAAGAATTATTGTCAGACATAAATGTAATTTATAATTTTATTTAATGGTGCACTTCGCACTTCAACATTCCAGATTTGTCATTTTTATGGGCTTAACTACATTGATAGCTAGTGGTTCTTTGATGTTTACAGTTCCAAATAATATGTCCCAGTATATCATTCCCAATTCACTTGTATGGAAATAAAGTCAATGTAGAAACCTGATGGCTATATTATCAGGTTCCACTTTAATGAGCTCTTTGCATTACTCATTATGATGGCAAATCAACTGCATAATATTAATATATTTGTGATTTTACTTTAACAATGCTGATGAAATGAAGCTATATCACATGAGTGAGTCTGCTCAGAATTAAAGCATGCCTGATAACTTTACCTATGGCATACTTTTACATTGTTTTTTAATAGAAGAATTAATGGACTCAAATATGTTATTTATTCCTGATTATTATTATTATTCTTCTTACTAAATTATTCTTCATACCTATAAACCTTTTCCAATGAAATAAACAATGAAAAAATGAAAATTATCTATAAAGTTAGCCAAATTCTTTACAAGATTGTTTTTAAATACTTAAACCAGGGTAACTGAATTAAATTATGAGAATAAACAGTTATCTACCTTCTGAAAGAATGTTTTGAAAGTTTATAATTGTGGTGAACCTCATAACAGACAATTTACAATAAAGACCAAATTTTAAATCATGCCACTTTTTCTTTCAACAAGATTTTCTAAAATTTTTCATTTTGATTTCCAAAAATAAATATGTAAATATTATTGTTAACATTTTTAATAAATGTTTTTATTACAAGCTATTTTTTTCCCCTTCATTTAAACAAATGAGATACGTAATAATAGTACAAGATTTAATTTCATTACAAAATTATTCATTAAAAACCTACTTGGTTTGGTTTGCTTTATTATTTATTGGTTATGCTAAAGCAGGGCTATCTGCCTAAGGAAAGAGGTGCCTTCGCAGAGCACCTTCTAAGAGAAATTTCCCTGTAGCCATGTTATAAATGGAAGAAACCATGAAAATGCCCATGCAGCCAGTCTGTTCACTATACTTGAACTAAGGTTGAACTGCCAGCATTCAGTGATTTTAGCAACCAGCTGCTGTTAAGACAAAAAAAAAAAAAAAAAAAAAAAAAAAAAAAAAAAAACTGGAACAAAACAAACTCAAAATTTGAGCAAATTGTGAACATCCAATTTCTTAAATACATTTTAATGAAGACTTTTTTTTTTTTTTTTTTTTTTTTTTCTCTTTTAAAGAACATTAGTGCTTTTGTGAGAGGCCTATAACATTATCAGCCACTGAACAACCATGCCAGATTTTGATAAACAAAAGATCCATGAGGGAAGCATTAGGACTTAGCACTAAATACTAAAGGGATTTGTTCTAGCCTTTAAATGCAAACTAACAGCCGAGTGGTAAAACTACTGAGCATTGGTAATTCGACCTGAGCTCAAATCTCGATGATTGGACTGCATGGGGATTTTCACGGTTTTTCCCATATAATGTGAACACAAGTCAGTTTCCTTTAAAAAGTCATCCATGAAGGCATTTGAACCCTTTAGGCAGATAAGCATCTTATGCTTTGAAATAATCAAAATAAACTAAAACCAATATTTCAGTATGGCTAATTTTCCCATTTTCCTTTTTGTCAGCATCACTACAATTTT